CCCTTCCATGCATCATCTATCAACCAAAGGATATACCCCGCAAGCCTGCCCCCCTGTCATCTGCACACCGCTCCTCTCTCTCTCCAGGTCCAAAGTCTCCAGCTGCTCCATCGCCCCATGCCATTGTCTCTGCCTAAATCCCTGGTATCACTGCTTCTCTGGGTAGGGCTCCGTTCTCTGCTTACATGGAACTCTTTATGTAGGTTTCTAATTATTTTTTTAAAATGTTTTATTGTGAATATGTCACAGTTTACATGGGAGAACATTAGTTTTATATTCATCCTATTGTATGTCATTTCATTGCCATGGTTACATTCCCCTCCATGCATCATCAACCAACCAAAGGGTATACACTACACTACAAGCCTGTCCCCCTGGTTGTCAGCACACAGCCCCTCTCCCTCTCTGGGTCTCAAGTCCCCAGCCGCTCCATCTCTCCACATCATCGTCTCTGCCTCCATCTCTGGTGTTACTGTTTCTCTAGACAGGGTCCTATACTCCACTTTTCCCCCTTGATGGTTCCAGGGACCTTGGCTCCTGGACTGCATAGTCAATCACTCCCCTCCTTTTGCTACAAAACGTCCACCTCTACATTTCCAACCCTTGTAGTCAGTCCTGATAATAATTATTCACCATTGTACTATAAGGGTTCTATCCCCATCTCCTCTCATGAGCCCCGCCCAGACAGATTGGATACTACTCAGTGGAAAGTCTACCTTACTCCACACCCTCTGGATCTAGGCTCCCTCTTAAAAGCTTGTAAGCCAATCACTTCTTGCCTTTGTAGCCCCCTCCCCCCCATCCCGCATTTTGAGTAGCCAATGTCCAAGTTGCCCATCCCTGTCTACTCTGTGTATGGAGGGGGTGGGAATGATCCTCGCTGTAAAGATTTGTTCCCTCTTTTGAGCTACTGCATCCATAGGTGTAAGTCAAGTTTATCAACTTGTATCAGATTACTCTCTTTTTTCTCTTCTTTCTTCTTCTCGTTGAGCTCTGATCATCCAGTCATTGAAACCAGGTCAAGTGGGTATTATGTGCAATTGTGGATGTGCTTATGCATATGCCCTCTCTTCTTAACCAGCTGGACGCTTCACTCTCCACTCTAGTCCTCTGTGGCTGTTTCACTGACTCTGGGCCCAAGAGTCCCCATGTCTTGCTACAATGCTGGCCAACCAGGTCTCCACCCGGGTTCACAGGAGTCTATTGAA